GGTTTGAATTGGATTTATTGCACTTTAACACAACTCGTAACTACAATCAATTATACAGCTGTTGCTAATCTACACTTCACCGTTACATAAACGTTCGGATTCCGTCTTCACGACATATATATATATATAAGGTGCTGTCATTTACCATCGGAAGCAGCAGACTGGTTAACAAAACTGAATCAATCTCCTGGAATCGAAGTGAGGACTTTCATGAGATTGTCACACTGCAAAAATACATCTATATTTCTTGAAACGCACCTCATGAAGTCTCAGCTTTCTAACCATAACAGGTCGCTGATGCTGGATTGGAGGTTCTCACGTCAATGTGAAGAGATATATCCCTGTAATAGGCCGTGAAGGCCCATGTAATTGTAAGACGTCGAGGCTCCCACATTTTTCAATACAGTCGGCTCACACATGGTAGTGAGGTTGTCATTCCTATGCTCCGCCAGGTCGCCCTTTGCCTTCAGGAAGATTCCTGGTATTAATTTCTGTCAGAGACTGAGTCGATCCCAGGACCATACTGTGGCTGGAAGGATTAGGCCAATTAAAATCCAATGATATCAGGCATCGAACCCACGGCCCTCCGGCTTCTAGCATAGTACCGCAACCAACTACGCTACCGCATGCTCTTCTCACAGCAGTGACTACGCAGATTACGTGTATATGGTGTCCGCAAACTTTCTCATTTCGAAGACTCTGGAATCGAACACTAGACACTCAATGGACGACACTACGATGCGGCTTAATGTCTCACACAGTGGACTCAACATGTCAGTGTTCTGAATTCCAGTCTTCTTATGGAGATTTTTCCTCGCTTCTCTCTATCGGACTAAGCCAGCCAGTTCAGGATAAGCGGAGCTCAAATACAAGTTCCTGAACCATTGTCGAATTTTATGTTGCGTCTATGTAAACAAAATTGTTAGCGTGTAGAGAACGGGCGCATTAAGTCTCGAATACATTGCGTTAAAATGCTTAATAAGAATATGGATTCGAACGGGCGCATTAAGTCTCGAATACATTGCGTTAAAATGCTTAATAAGAATATGGATTCGAACGGGCGCATTAAGTCTCGAATACATTGCGTTAAAATGCTTAATAAGAATATGGATTCGAACGGGCGCATTAAGTCTCGAATACATTGCGTTAAAATGCTTAATAAGAATATGGATTCGAACGGGCGCATTAAGTCTCGAATACATTGCGTTAAAATATTTAATAAGAATATGGATTCGAGTCGATACACGTGACGTCTCCACTTGTCACTAAGACAAGTGCTTCGTGAGGCATCAGAACACGTAAGATGATAAAAGTAGAAAAGACGAGAAAATGAAAACACGACAAAAATAAATAAAGGAAGAGGTAACGCAATGCTTGGGCTTCATAATTAATCATCACGTTATGAAGACGTATGGGGGAAAGGAGGTATAGCTCCATCTTTCTTAACCTCGGCAATATATGAAAGCAAGTACTCGGCTTCACGCTCCTCCCCGCATTACTTCCAGGGAAACAGAGCCCAGTATCCATTGGATAGAACGATGGTTGGGCGTTACGGGCAAAATAGAAATATCTTGCTCCTACAGGGAATCGAAGCCTGGTTCCTCGTTTGTCCAGCCCGTAGCACAGTCTGCAGACCGATTGAGCTATTCCGATTTCAGAGAGAAGTAAAAACAGATAATAACGACAGTGCTATGCAGGATGAAATACGGATAGAAGAGAAGAATAAAGAAACAGATAAAGAACGACAAAGAAATTCCAGAGGAAAAGGAATAGAGGACGATGAGAGAAATTAAAATGAGATTCAGAAAGTTAGAGAAGGAATTCGCTTCCCTCGCTCGAACCCTGCACTTCCTGGACCTGCCTCCCCGCAAAAACCCGGAGAAGCCGAAGTGTGGACGTGATTCGGCAGTGTGATGTCTCCGGGCCCGCGTGTGGAGGGAGGTGTGTTCCACTTCTGGCAGGACTCCCCTACAATGTCGTGGAGTACCACTAGAGTACAGTTACCTCCCACTGACCACATTACCCAGTAAAGCAGTGCCAGTCTTCGTTTAAGGGCCGTACAGCGGGCAAGCGAGCGGAGAGCCGCCTGTCTGGTGATGGTCCTCAGCGGTTAACACACCGGATACCGCTCAACAGTTCCTTCGGACGAAGAACTCGCAGTTCTGTCTCAGTCTCTTCACGCGTGGCAGTTACCGAGTTTACAGAGTGCCTTGGTTCGGTGACGGGTTAGACGTGATCCAGTGTTTTAATGTTTTAAACAAGCTACGTGCAAAAATACCCGCTGTAGAGCAATTCTTGGCGGATTCGATAAATATTTTCTGTTTCGGTTTTACGTCAGAGGATAACAAAATACATACAGTAGTTCTTTTGAGAAAGTGATGCTCTCGTGTTTGGTGATTTCAACGAAATATTAAGGACAATGACACAATTGTGGTGATTAGAAGAGGACACGACCTTGAACCATCTGCTTAACTAGGATACGCGGCCCGGCTTTTCGAGATATCAGTTCTGAAATTCATCAAGGTAAGACCCAGATATCATTTCATGTCCTGGAGTACATTTTTAAACAAATCAACAGGAACTGTAGCTTATTAGGCGTTAGAATTTTGCTGACAGATTCGTGTGTCCTTATCACCTCGTTTTATTTATAAGTAAAATTCATCCAATTATTTTCACGAGCTGTAACCACCATGTAAAGCTCAGATTACAAATCGCATTACTAAGTGCTTCGCGTCGAAGTCCAACCTGCTACGTATCACATTCGATGATTATTAAGAGGTACAGTCAACACAGGCATTCAGTTAGAAGTGTCAACCACTTTCATCACCGAGCAAGCTGGTCTGTCAAATAATTCTCTGAACTTGAATTCGGGAGATGCTCGGTTCGAATCTCGGCCTCCATTATCCCGACTGAAGACTTCGTGATCCTTAGTCTCTCAAGACAAATGGCGGAATAGCACTTCGAATAGGCTACGGCCGTTTCCATCCAGAGCCTTTCTAATTCCTTATTCAATGCGTAACATTTGAGGTTCTCTCAGCGGTTCTTACGAAGAGTAATAACTTCCTGGATATGACGCCGTGTAGCCCGTTGAAAGTCAACGACGTTCCGGAGGAAGGTATCGCGTCTATGCTGCTTTCACACTGGTATCTTTTTTTTTCGGCTTATTTGACCCTGAAGATGGAGGTGATATGTTCCTTCGAAACGTCGGTTTGATTTTCAACGGACTACATGGTGTTATATCCCAGAAGATCGTAAGGTAAATGTGAAGTTGTCCCTGTGCTTAACTAACTGCTACCCATGAAGGCTTGTGGTGGAGTGGATGTATAGATGCACATTTTCTTGACCTCGACACTAGATTGAGCTGTTGTCAGCTTTACGCTCCGGCCGCTTAGCCCCGTGGGAAAGATCTACCGATACCCATTGGATAGGAGGCTGGGTGGGGCCCCAGAAGCGGCCTGGACGACGTGGAGAAGAGAAAATTCTTGCCCCTACCGGGACTCGAACTCCGACGACTCGGTCGTGCGGCTTGTAGCCAGTCTCTATACCGACTGAGCTACCCCGGCTCCCCAGAAGATAATACTTTCCAGTATTAGTCATCCTCGCATCCGACGCGGTATAGCGACTGGTTATTGGCTGGATGACTGAGGGGTCGAATTTCGAGTCCCGGTTGGGGCAAGAATTTTCTCCACGTCGTCCAGACCAGCTCTGGGGGATTCGGAGAAAACCTGCCCCAGCGCCACTTTGTCCACCACAAATCCCACTTGACCAGACCCAGGATCGAACCCGGGCCGCCGCGATGGGAAGCCAGCGACTAACCGCTTG